GGCAAGCCGGGCGGCAGCTGGGAGCGGAGGCAGGCGGGCGGCGGCAGCTGGGAGCGGCGCCACCCGGGCTCCAACCCCCTGGACCCGCAGGACCCCAGCCCCGACGCCTACTGCAACCTCGTCATCCTGGCTGTGGCCAACAGGGTGAGCCCGAGGGCACCTGGCGCCCCTGCGCCCTGCCTCCCGGGCGCCCTCCCACCCTCCTCCCAACCTCCTCAGGAGGTTCCCGAGGTCTACCCTGACCTCTTTCCTTCTCCCTCCTTCGGGCCTGCCCAGGACTCCAGGTACTACCTGTGTCCATGACGCCAAAAGGCTTCTAAACTCCAGCGCTGGACACCTCCCCCTTGCTGCCCCCATGGGATGAAAACTCAGAATGGCCAAAACAGCCTTGATCTAACCCCTTCTCCAGCCCTGCTCCTTCTCCAGTGTCGTCAGTGTCGGCACTACCACAGTAACAATCATGAGGACACTAATCACCAGCATGAACCAAGTGCCAAACCATGCCCGACACAGAACCAGCATTAACTTATTCATTCTCACAGTAACCCCTAGAGGCAAATATTTCAACCATCCCCATTCTATAGAGAAGGAAACGGAGACCCAGAGGCTAAGTAACTTGTGCAAGGTCAGACAGGAAGCCGGTGGTGATTTCAGCATTAGGACCCAGGAAGTTCAGAGCCTGTACTCTTGGTAACTATGGTGGTCACTCAAGACAGAAGCCTTCCCAGCCATTCTTGCCTTCCCTACCCCCATTCACGTTTGCTTTTATTTATTTGACCATGTTTATTGAGCGCTAACTTTGTGCTAGGCATTGGACTAGGTGCTATGGATACAGAGAGGAACGATGAACAAGACATATTTGGTGTCCCCCCTTAGGGAGCTCACAGTCCAGCAGACACCCTCAAGCCCTGAGCCTTCCAAGCTTTTCCTCTGACCCAGGGCCCCCAGCTCCCTCTGTATGCACACTGTGGTGAGCAAAACAGACAGACATGCGCCTGTCTAGAGGGAGAGATGGATAATAACCAGAAATGCGGACTCCAGAGCTGACTGGCTCCCCCTTGAAACACTTTCTCACTTGGCACCCAGCTCTCCACATTCTCCTGGTTTTCCTCCTGCCTCCCTTGCTGCCCCAGCTCGGGAGCTGGTTCCTCCTCTTCTCTCCAGCCTCTTAAGGTTGGAGTGCTCCAGGCTTAGTCCTTGATCCTCTTCTCTCCTTTACGCTCGTTTCTAGGTGATCTCTAGTCTCATAGCCTTTAAAACACTGAGAACTCCACATTTATCTCTCACCAGATCTCCAGATACATTTCTCCACTCAGCCTCTCATTCGAAGGCCTAATGACCATCTCAAACCTAACACGCCCAAAGCTGAGCTCCCATCTTCTCCCCCAAACCTGCGCTTCCTTAGTCTCCCTGTCTTGATTAATGGCAGCTCTGTCCTTCCGTTGCTCAGACCAAAACCTTGCAGTGATCCTTGGCTCCTCTCTCTCTCACAACCCATATCTACTCTGTCAACAAATCCTGTGGGCCCTATTTTTAAAATATAACCAAAACCCGTCTACTTGTCCCCCCTGTCCCCACCCGGGTCCATGCCCATCTTCTATCACCTAGATCATGTAGTCACCCCTCACTGATTTGGCCCTTGCTTACAATCTGTCCCGCACAGGATCAGAGCAGCCCTGTTAACACGTAAGTCACATCGTGTCACTGCTCAAAATCTTCCAGTGGCTCCCATTTCACTCAGGGTAAAAGCTGATGTCCTTACAGCTGCTTATAAGGCCACTCACTTACAATGGTGGCTCCAGCCACTATGCCCACTCCCTCTCTGGCCTCATCTCTTTCTACTGTCTTCTTTATTTCACTCCACTCCAGCCAGACTGGTCTCCTTGGAGAGTGCAAGAGACCTATGTGTTCTGGATGTTTCATTGTGGTATCTCCAGCACTGGAACAGTGCCTGGCACACAACAGATGCTCAATAAATAGTGAATGAGTGGATGAATTAAGGCATATTATATTATTATGCTTTGCAATGGGGACCAAGAAGAAAACAAGAGGGTTACAGTGATGATGAGGGAGGAGATCCATTTTCCACAGGGGAAACGAGTTGGTGCCTTTTAAACTGAAATGTGAAGGAGAGGAAGGAGTCAGCAGGGCAAAGAGCCAGGAAAGTGAATTCTAGGCAGAGGGAACAGTGTGCCCTGTTTATCTCAGTGGACTGTGAGGGCTTTAGGGTACAGACCTCATCTAATTCACCTCTGTGGCCCCAGAGCCTAGACCAGTGCCTGCCAAGCAATAGGACTAAATGAGAATGTGTGGAATGAGCAAATAAATGAAGAGTTGTTTTCCGGGAGTATCTGAGCCTCTGGCCTCCTATCCAAGGCATCGTGGTCCCAAGGAGGGTACAAAAGTTAGAGTCAAAAAACCTGGATGCGGATGTTTACCAATGCTGTGAACCCGCTGTGTGAGCTTGGGCAAGTCACTTAACTACTCTAAGCCTCAGTGTCTTTATAAAATAAGAATCCTCTCTTTTCTGTCCATTTTGTAGGGTTATTGTAAGGATCAATCCTGGTTTAATGTTTAGTACATTCTGCCATCCCAAAATGCCTATCCTGGGTTACATTTTAATTTACACCCAGGGCTTTTTTAGAGGCACAAAATAGGAAACGGCTTCATGAAGATGGTCTCTTCATCAGTTATTGTCTTTCTATGTCTCTTGCTTAAAGACATAAAGAGGTAAATTAAAGAGGCAAATTCCTCTTCACATTTGCAATCTCAAAAAAGTTTCACCCAGGAACTTAAATTCCTTCCTTCTATCAGAAACTGAAGTTCATATATTCATCCTGCTTCCATTTTTGCCCTGGGTACCAGGAAGCTCATGTCTAAATATGGCATCCAGTAGTAGTAACCATGTTGAGCCTAAATCATACATTTAATTCTTCCTCCTCCTAGTAGGTATTAGGAGACCTGGGTTCTAGTCCTGGCTAATCACTTCATCTCTCTGGGCCTCCGCTTCCTACCTATAAGTTAAACTAAATTAGGGCTCATTTTAGATAAGCTTCAGGAGGGCCCGTGAATCCCCCAGAAATTTGGGGTGCATGTGCACATTTTTCAGGGCAAAGGAGTTAGAGTTGTTGCTGGATTTTATAAAGGGGTCCAAGACCCAGAGAATGGCCATATAATTTTGATGCGGAATGTCCTCAAGGTCAATTTAAAGGTATCCATTGGGTACGCGTGTATGTGTGTGCGCCCACCCCTGTGAGCCTCCTCACGCTGTGTTTTAGGAAGCAGGGGCATCCTGGTCACTGGTGAGGGCCTGAGCTCTCTGTCCTCCTCCCTGGACCAGGATGCTGCCGAGGAGTCCTGTGCCCTCATCTGTCAGGTCTTCCAGATCATCTACGGGGACCAGAGCATCGAGTGCGTGGACCGGGCCGGCTACCACTACACGTCCACACCCGAACGGCCCTGGCTCTGCAGCCGCAGTGAGTACCCGAACCCCTGGCTGCCCCTCCTGTGAAACATCCAGAAAGGCTGGGGGAGGGGAGATGGCCCAGGACCCGGGCTGATGAAAGCCTTTAGGGGCCTGATCTCTACCACAGTTACAGGGTACCCCGCTACGTAGTTAAAATAAAATGTTGATTTTCATGATGACCTCAAACCTTGCTTCTTCATACATGTGCCGGTTGCCAGATTCAGAACGAGCCCCTCAGAGCTGAACTGCTCTCTCTCCCTTTGGTTTTTGGAGTCTCTGCTTTGCAGAAACCTAAGACACGCATTGTCTGTTTACTGAGCCATCTAGGTCCACTAGGACTCTATGTCAAAATCAAGATTTCCAGACCGGAAATTGAAGGTTTCCTTGAAAGCAATCAAGGGCTGGAATGAGAATGAGACCAGTAGAGGCATTTATTGAACACGAACTATGTGCCAAGCACAGTACTAATGTGCTCGTAGCAACCTTTCCTATCCTGTTTGCCACTGTATCCCCTGTGCCTTGCATGAGACCAGGGACATCACAGATGCTCAAGAAGTATTTTCTGAACAGATCAAAGAACTCTCTGAGGCCTTATGATTCCAGTTTTACAGATAAAGACATTAAGGCTCAGAGTAGTCGATAAATTGCTCAAGGTCACACAGCTGGGAAATGGCAGAGTCAGGATTCAAATCCAGGCGTCTCTCACTCTAAAGCTTCTATCTGCAACAGCCTCACTCCCCATGCTGCCTTCAAGGCCGTAAGTGAACTTCCTCAGCCACAGCCCCCTCAACGTGGTTCCTGTTTGCATAGGTTCAGCGACAGGGAGCCGGCTCCTTCCTTCTGGAAGCACTCCCGCCTGTGGGAAGTTGGGATAGTTCATTGACTCTCACAGGGATGGTGGACAAGTAAATGCAATAATTTAACAAATATTTCAATAAACTCATTCATTCAACAAATATTTATTGAGCACCTACTATGTGTTGGATCCTGCAAATCACCAGGATATACCGGTGAGCAAAACCAGACATGACCCTGCCCTCACCTGCTTTATTGAGGCAGGCCGACAGTCATTACATCGCTACACAAATGCAGTGTAACCACACACTGTGCTGTGAGGACGCATAATGAGGAACCTCCTCCCCTGGGAGGGTCCTGAGGAAGTGACACTGAGTGAGCCAAGGTCGGAAGGGTGAGGCTCGTGGATTTAGTGAGGTAACAGGGCCAGGTGCAGAGCAAGTTCTCTGTAAATGTGCTTCTTTCTTCTCAAGATTTTGAGTTCCTTCCCCCTTATAAAGTTCTTTTTTGTCTCGCTCAAACACACACAGTTTACAAAACCCTCCCTCACCTGTTCCCTAGCCTGCTACCCCCAAGATCCCCATGAGGTAGGCAGGAGGCCGTATTGTCCAGTGTTGGGGAAGTTGAGGGCCAGGAGAGGGAAGGCGAGTTGCCCCACGCCAGCTGTGTGTTGGTGGTGGGGGCAGGAACCATGGTCAGAATCTTCCGTTGGCTGCCCATTTCACTCGAAGTAAAAGCTAACACACTTACCATTGCTTCCGGTGCCATCCATCCTCCAGCCACCATCCCAACCTCAGGGTGGGGAGGAGAGTGGGGCCTCAGGGAGCCAGGGATGCTGGTCCCTCTTTGCTGCCTCTGACAGCCCCTCTGTCTGCTGGCCCAGGTGACAGCTGCCGCACGGACGGGACTTACGCCTACGACGCCGACTTCAGCTGCTGTAGCTCCTTGTAGGTACCACCCTTGCCGGGGACCCCACTCTTGCCCACCCTGCCCACTCCTACACAAACAGAGTCACTCTTCTCGGCATTCTTGAGTCCCCTGTGGGCAAGAGAGGGTGGGAGAAAGTGACCCTACCTAGATTTGTGCTGAGACACTGGGCACTGAGGGTGGGAGGTAGACTGGGACCTAGGAGCTCATGGGATCCAGACCTCTGAGAAGCCCAGGGGACAACCAGGACCTAGAACTGGGTCCATGTAGGCCTGCGGTTCTCTCCCAGTCGTCCTGACACCGTGGCCTGTGGAGTCCAAAATCACAGCTAATGCCAAAAAATAATTTTGGTTTACTTTAGTTTTGGTTCCATGTAATAGAAAACCCTAAAATAGAAGCTTAAACAAGAGCTTTTTTCTCCTGTCTCTTACATAAAGTAGACCAGGAGTTCACGGCCTTATGGTCATCAGGGCCCCACGCTTATCTTTTCCTCCCTCCTCAGCCCTTGCTTCCATCCTCAGGGTTTCCTCAAGAACCAAGATGGTGGTTATAGCTCCAGCCATCACAGTAGCATACCAGGGCCTCTTTAAAGAGCTTTGCTGGGATTCCCACCTGACAATTTCTGCTTACACCTCATTGGCCAGAACTTGGTCACATGGCCGCAACTAGCTACAGGCAGGACTGGAAAATGTAGGATTAAAAAAAAAAATTTCTCCATTGGGCACATTGTCCAGGGTTCTATTTAGTGTGACCGACCACACCCCAGTTTGCCCAGGATTGAGGGGTTTCCCAGGGCACGGGATTTTCAGTCCTGAAGCCAGAAAGTCCCAGGCAAAGCAGGATGAGTTGGTCAGGCTACTTCTGTTACTAAGGCCTTTCGCTTGACAAGTAGCAGTCTCTGCCAGTGGTATATGCCCTCCTTTTCCTTTTTTTTCCTTTTTTCCTTTCCTTTACCTTTTTAGTGGCAATATATTTGCCCTCCTGATATTGTGTGCCTTGGACCAGTCCTTAAACAACCTGATATTTGCTGGAGAGATGACAACCATGATAATGACTAATTGAGCTTGCTCTGTGCCAAGTGCTGTCCTATAAAGCACTTCGTTATTTTTTAATCAACATAGCAACATTACAGTGGCTACTGTTTATTTATTGCTTATAGTCCATGACTCTAAGTGCTTTACATATATTAACTCCTCTATGACGCCAATTTTTCTCATCCCATTTTACAGATAGAGAAACTGAGGAATAGAGAAGTTAGGTAGCTTGCCCAAGGTCAAGCAGCTAGTAAGTTGTAGGCCTGGGATTTGAACCCAAGCAGGCTGCCTCCAGAGTCCACACCCTTAACCACTAAGCTACACTGCTTCTCTGTAGGTAACAATGGAAGATGCTTCTGGAACAATTTAGAGACCAGGAAGCAGGTTGACATTTTATTAGGCAATATTTATTGAGTACCTATCACGTGCCAGGCACTGTGCTGTGTGCTAGGACCACAGTGGGAACAAGACAAAACGAGACCCACGCTTGGCACATAGTAGGTACTCAGCAAACGAAGAAAACACCAAGGTCCCTGCTCTTGCATGGTTTAGAGTCTAGCACAGGAGACAGTGAAGTCATTATTTAATGGTAACAAGCATTAATGGTAATAAGCACTAAAGAGAAGCTCAGAGTCCTGAGAGAGAGGCTGTGGGGACCCTGCCTCATCTGGGGAGTCAGGAGGGCCTCTCAGAGGTGATGACCCTTGAACTGAGACCTGGAGGAGGGAAGGGGCAGAGCAATGTGTGTAGAGGGAACAGCACGTGCGAGGATTCTGAAGCTGGATAAAGCTTGGTGTGTCAGAGGAGCAGCCAGGGGGCCGCTGTGGCTGCAGCAGAGGGTGTGAGGGACAGAGTGGTCAGGGAGGACGTTTGGTGGGGGATCTGGAAAGGCCTTGCATGTCATGCATAGATCTATAGACTTTATGACCACATTGGACAGAGTGTCTAATGCAGTCTGGGGGGATCAAGGAAAACTTGCCTGAGAAGGTGACATTTAAGATCCAAAGATGAATAAGAATGACTTGAGCGAAAGACAAGGAGAGAGGCATTCCAGGCAGGGGGAACAGCATGTGCAAAGGCCCAGAGGTGAGGAAGTACTTGGAGTATTAGAGGAAAAGGGAAAAGGCAGGGTGGCCTGAGCATAAAGAGCAAAGGAGAGCACAGCAAGAGATGAGGCTTGAAAGACGAGGCAGATCATGCGGGGCCTTGAATCTGGGCTGAGGCCCCAGGACCAGCGCGTTGGTAGCCGTGCCCTCCCACCTTCAGTCTGCCACAGGGAGAGGGACTGGAGGGAGGAGAGTGAGGGCCCGTTTCTGCCTGCCCCTGCAGCAATGGCTCCCAGGACACATTTGAAGCGTGTTACAGCGGCACGTCCACACCCTCTTTCCATGGCTCCCACTGCAGCGGCAGCGACCACAGTGGCCTGGGCGTCGAGCAGTTGCAGGATTACATGGTCACGGTGAGTTGGGATACGCAGGCAAACAGCACAAAGGCCTGGAGGCTGGAGAACACATGGGAATATTCAGGAATTGCCAATAATCCTGCACGTAACTGAAGCGTAGGACCTCAGAGGTCAGCACGGGACATGGGGTTAGGAGAGTAAACTGAGGCTAGCTTCTCAAAGGCCTTAACTAATGTCAACTAGCATTAATTGAGTGCTTGCTGTATACCAGGCACTGTTCTAAGCCCCTTTTGTGCATCATTTCTTTTAATCCTTTCAACAACCCCAGAGGGAGATGCCATCATTATCCTCACTTGGCAGATGAGGAAAGCAAGGGTCAGGGAGGCTGTCACCTACCCAAGATCACAGAGCTGGTCAATGAAGGGGTCAGGATATGAAATCTGGCAGCTTGAGTCCACATCCCATTCTCAGATGCAGCCCAAGGGGTCTGGATGTCCCCCAGCAGGCCATGGAAGGGTCTTCAGAGGGGGGCTGAGACAAATATGCCCTTAGAGAGGGCTCTGGGTCTTTTAGGCAGGGGTTGGGTGGGGGAGCTCCCCGGGATTGATCTCGAATGGTGTCCCCACAGCTGCGGAGTAAGCTAGGGCCCCCTGAGATCCAGCAGTTTGCGCTGCTGCTGCGGGAGTACCGGCTGGGGCTGCCCATCCAGGACTACTGCGCCGGCCTGCTGAAGCTCTACGGAGACCGGCGCAAGTTCCTCCTCCTTGGTGAGTTCTCTGCCCCGCCCCCTAGGGTCAGCCGAGGCCCCTCATGGTCCATGACATCCCCCGTCAGGCACCAGGCTGGGAGTATTTACTTCTTACCCCGCAGCCTCCAATAAGGCCAAGATGGTGAGATCCGTGGGGCATATGAGGAGACCAAGGTGCAGAGAGGGGAAGGGACGTGCCTGCCAATAAAAAGAAAGCACTGGTACAGCCATTTCATCTTCACAGCAAAGCTGGGAGAGGGAATAATTCTTCCCATTTTACTCCATGAGGAAGCTGAGGCTCAGAGAGGCTAAGGAACTTGTCCAAGATCACACAGCTAGTAAGCAAAGCTAATAATAACAGGAATAATACTATTAATAAGCTAACACGTATTTGGCAGTTACCGTTTGCCAAGCATCATATCAATGAATGCCCTTAGTTCTGAGAAGGAGAAATTATTATTTGCCCCCATTTTGCAGATGAGGAAACTGAGGCTCAGAGAAGCGAAGTACAGAAGTCACATAGCTAGTAAGTAGAGATGGAAGCAAAACGAGCTACCTTCTGTGGGGCACTTAGTGTGGCCTAAGTACCTTATTTAATCCTCACATCCCTACCGGGAGAACAGGGAGGTGCCATTATCTCAATTTTACAGGGGAGGAAAATAAGGCTCAGCGTAGTTAGTTAATGAGAGTCACACGACTCATAAATGGGAATATAACAATTGTGATAATAATAATAACAATAATAAGCGAACATGTAGTGAGCATTTACTGTGCGCCGAGCATCGTGTCATTCTCTGGCTCAGAGAGTCGAGGAACTTGTGCAGGGCCACACAGCCCGTGAGTGGCGGGGCGGGGATTTGAACTCAGATCTCCAGAGGCGGTGATTCCGCTGGGGGAGGGGAAGGGCTGAAGGCCCAGGATCACGCTGCCCCTCGGCCCGCAGGGATGCGGCCCTTCATCCCGGACCAGGACATTGGCTACTTCGAGGGCTTCCTGGAGGGCGTGGGCATCCGCGAGGGCGGCATCCTCACCGACAGCTTCGGCCGCATCAAGCGCAGCATGAGCTCCACGTCGGCGTCGGCCGTGCGCAGCTACGACGGCGCGGCCCAGCGGCCCGAGGCGCAGGCCTTCCACCGGCTGCTGGCCGACATCACGCACGACATCGAGGCGCTGGCCCCTGACGACGACGAAAGCACGGACGAGGAGGCGCGGGGCTCCCCGGGCCAGGGCGACGCGGCCGAGGACAACTACCTGTAGCCTGTAGCCATGCGGGCCCGCAACCCTGCCTCTGGGTCCCTCACTCTCTCGCCTGTGGGCCCCATCCCCAGGGCCCCCTCTTGACACCCGGACGCCGGGCCTCCACTCCCGTCCCCGCCCTCGGGGCTCTGGCCCCTGCAGTACCGAGAATGTCCTGCAGGGGGCGGCACCCTAAGGCCCTGGGCAGTCGCCCGAGGCTCAGCAGGCCGCCCTGCCAGGTGCGGGTGGGCTGCGTCCTTGTTTGTCCCGCTAGTCTCGAGGCTCGGCCCCGGGACACCGCCTCCTCCCCGCGACTCTGCGGCTTTCTGGAGGCCAAGGGAGGGATGAAGAGTGGGCTCCACCTGCTGGCCGACTGAGAAAAGAGTTCCCAGAGCCCAGAGACGTCTATTCCCCCTGTTTTACGGTGGGAGAAACTGAGCTTCACAAGAGGAGAAGGGACTTGAGGGAATCTCTTATCTCATTACCTCAAACTGACCATACTAAATAGTGTAGAGGGTCTTTTTAAGCCTCTAAATGGCAGGGTCTCCCCTCCCCTGATGGCAGGAATTGGATTATCAGTGTGGAATGGAGGTTTTTCTCTACTGGGAGTTGACTCAGGAGTTCTGACCTGGGTCCCAGTCCTGGCCCTAAGACTGAACAAGTTGTTTGTTCAGATCTTGGATTGGGAGCCACACAGACCGAGGCCTCCTGTCTAGTTAGTGTCCTGGCCTCTCTGGGCCTCCCGTTCCCTCATCTGTCTGATGAGATGGGCCCACCTACCTCCCAGGGTGGTCATGGGGATTAAGCAAGGCCAAGACCTTAGTGCTGGGTCTAGCACAGGATAGGTGCTCACTAAATGCTGTTCCCTTCCACATCTCACACTTCCTGACTCAGTTTACCTGTCTTTACCCTGTGTGCACTGGAATGGGAAATGAGATGGGAGTGAGATGTAAGAAGACCCTCAGGGAGCTCATGGTTTGGGAAGAAGAAATAGGACTTGCCCCTCACAGCTCTGTTACAGCCTGGCTCCATGCTCAAGTCCCAAACAAAAAGTACCCAAAATTCCACAGACAGCTATCTCAGGGATCTGGGGTAGTCAAAGAAATCTGAAGGCAGGGTTGGAGAGGGAGAGAAGGCAGGATAAGGACACCCTGAGTAAAGGCTCCGAGGGTAAAAGAAATAAGCCCTGAGAGGAGGCCGGAGACTCTCATAGAAGAGCTAAAATTTGTAAAACTTTACAGAGACTTCCGTGGCCAGAGACAGGGTACATACCATGAGGTAGGTACTATTATCATCAATTTTAAAGTAATATTATCGGGGCCGGCCCTGTGGTGTAGTGGTTAAGTGCGTACGCTCCTCTGCTGGTGGCCCGCATTCGGATCCCGGGCGCGCACCGACGCTCTGCTTGTCAGGCCATGCTGTGGCGGCGTCCCATATAAAATGGAGGAAGATAGGCATGGATGATAGCCCAGGGCCAATCTTCCTCAGCAAAAAGAGGAGGGTTGGCATGGATGTTAGCTCAGGGCTGATCCTCCTCACAAAAATAAATAAGTAAATAAAGTAATATTATCATTATTAGGGCTTCAGGTCCAGAGAGTTCCATGATTCATACTCAGTTTGTGGCAAATGACCATACCATCATAACTGGTCCATGCAAGGCCCTTCTGATGTTTTATCTTCCCCTCCATCTATACATTCCCCATACTCCTTCCACTCCCCACCATGTGCACCCACTCCTATGTGTTGACATATGTCCCTGGACGTACAATTCACATGCTATGTGTATGTGTTTACCCTGCATAAATGCTATTTGTAAGGATCTCATTCTGATGCTTCCTTTTTTTCAGTCTATAATGTGGTTTTAATAATCTATGTTGCTGTAGGAAAATCTAGTTTAGCGCATCAAACTGCTGCAGAATAATCTAAGCTGAGCATCTACTGTTTTATTTATCCATTCCCCCAGTGTTGGACACTCAAGTGGCTTCCAGTTCTCTCTTACAAACAACACTGTGATAAACATCTTTGTACACGACCTTCATGGACCTATGTGAAAATTTCTTTGGGCTCTATACCCAAGAGTGGAGTTACTAGATCACAGGCATATATGTTTTAAATTTCACTAACTTCTGCTAGAATGGCTCCATTAGCAGCGTGTGAAGGACGATGTCTCCACCCATTTTCATCAGCTTTTACGTTATATCTGACTTGGTAATTTTTGCCTACAGTTTGAGTGTAAGGTGGCATCTCATTGTTGTTTCAACTTGCATTTCTCTGTTAATCTTGAGATTCAGAACCTCCTTTTTGACGTGTCAGGCATTTGGGCTTCACCTTCAGTGAATTGCCTGTTCATAAGTTTTGCCCATTATCTGTTAGGTTTTCCTGTCTTTTTCTTGTTGATTTGCAGGAGTAGCTTATAAATTTTAGATATTAATCCCTTGTTGAATGTTGATGTCCCAAAGGTCTTCTCCCAATATGTTGCCCATCTGTTCAGTTTATCTATGGCAGCAGTTCTCAAATTTTAGCATGCATCAAAATCTCCTAGAAGGCTTGCTAAAACACAGATACGTGAGCCCTGCCCCAGAGTTTCTGACTCAGTAGAGCGGGAGTAGGGTGCGAGAATTTGCATTTCTAACAAGTACTCGGGTGATGCTGATGGTCCAGGGACCACAGTTTGAGAACCACTGGCCTATGGTGCCTTCCTTTGAACAAATTTGTTCCATTGAACAAATCCTTAATTTTGATGTTTTCAAATTTATTTGTCCTCATTTTATGGATAAGAGAACTGGAGCTCAAGGAGGTGAAGTGAATGACCCCAGGTGACACAGTGAGCTCGGTTTTGGACCCTTATCTGGCTAACCCCAGAGCCTGTGCTCCTAGCCCCTCTGCTATCCTGTCTACCAGCTTGTGGGATGTAGTGATCACAGGCTGAGGCATTTGGACCTGAGGCTAGGGGAGCCTTAATAAGTTTCTGAGTGAGGCAGCCAGAGAGGAGCAAGTCAGTTGCCTAGGGCCAGGGGCCAAAGAGACAGGCCTAAGGGCTTTTACAAGAGGATCAAGCTCAGAAATTGCCCTCAGTCCCAGCCAGGGCACAGTGACAGGGCTGCTGAAAGGTACCAGGACAGTTGTTACCCCACAGCTCCGGGTGAAGCAATTTCCCTCACACCCTGAGGAAGTACCCACCCACCCTGGAACTACCCTCTTACCAAAGCTGTGTAACTCCTTGGTTTCTGAGGGCCAAAAGGGCCCTGGCTAGGGTGGCCCAGGGTCTGAGCATGCGGACCCTGGCCGCACTTCCTCCTGTAGCATCTGGGGACCCTGCCAGGATCACTTCCCATCATGGTTCTGTTCCTGGCACTGCAAGAGGGGAAAACCCCTGGTTGTGGGACAGCTGATTCCCAAAGACCTCTAGGGGTAGTGTAAGGACGGAACTTCCCTACTGGCTGGGTCCGCTGGGGACACTCCTGACACAGGACAAGTGGTGAAGTTAGTGAAAATGTCTCCAGCTGCCCCTTCACATGGAAGCCCCTCCCACTTGGGGGCCCTGCAACTTCCTACTCCCTCCCAGCCTCCAACTGGAGACGCCCAGCAATCCTTCACAACTGGGTTGGGGAGCAGTCCTGGGTCCACTGTCATTCAATCACCATCATTTAGAGAGCACCCACTCTGTGCCAGGCATCGCACTAGACACTAGAGGGTGATACGGAACAACCCCTGCCCACTGGGGGGCTCCGAGCCTCATGGGAAAGACAGGTCCCCAAATTATCACGGCACAAAGTTGTCAACTGTAAAATCAAACAGTGAGAAACTAGCTCTTTCTGGGTAAGCTGGAAAAGGCTGCTAAGAGGAGATGATGTATGAGTGAGACTTTGAAGGATGGGCAAGATTTTTGGCAGGTAGACAATAGAAGGGAGAGCCCTCCAGGCGGGGCCAGCATGAGCAAAGGCAGGGAAGCTGGAAGGAGTGTGACACACTCCAAGACTGGTAATCGGTTAGCACGTGGTTAGGCTTTCTGGCCCTGGGGTCAGACTGAGTTTTGAATCCCAACTCTGTCATCTGCTAGTTGGGTGATCTTGGGTAAGCCCCTAAATGTCTCTGGGTCTTGGTTTCCTCATCTATAAAATGGGGCTAATAATAGCATCACCCTCATAGATCTCAGAGATTGTTGTAAGGCTTCAACAAGATAATCCATGTAAAAATACATACAGTAAGTACTCAGTAAATGTGACCATTATTATTGCTGGAGGAACACGGGGTGTGAGGGGAGCAGGACTGGTAGGAGAGGAAACCACAGAAGTGGGCAGATTGAGAAGGCCCTCGAAGGGCAGGCTAGGAAGTGTAGGCAATTGAGGGGTGACCTAATGGGCTTGCATTTTCTTGAAATGAATCTAGCTGTTTGAAGAGGAGGGTTGACTGGAGAGCCAGGAGAGCCTGGGCACTGGGGGAATGGGGCAGGGGGCTGGGACAAGGACCAGATGAGAGACATTAAGACCTGACTCAGATGGGGTAAGAGGAAGGAAGAGGGGAGGGCAGGTTCCAAGGAGGAGGGAGGGGAAGAGGGCTCCCTCCTGGCTCAGAAACAGCAGCCTCTCACATCCTTTGATTAGACTCATTCATTCATTCATTCATTCATTCATTCCACAACTATTTATTTAGCACTTGAACCCTGGCCTCGAGGAGTTTACATTCTAGGGAGTTTATATTACAATTAAATAATATTACTTGGAGCTTCCAGGTGCAGTAACCACCCACTCAGGCCTAAATGATCAGAAATTGACAGCCCTGGGGCCCGCCCCGTGGCGTAGCGGTTAAGTGCACAAGCTCCTCTGCTGGCGGCCCGGGTTTGGATCCCAGGCGGCACCAACGCACCGCTTGTCAGGCCATGCTGTGGTGGCATCCCATATAAAGTGGAGGAAGATGGGCACAGATGTTAGCCCAGGGCCAGTCTTCCTCAGCAAAAAGAGGAGGATTGGCATGGATGTTAGCTCAGGGCTGATCTTCCTCACAAAAAAAAGAAAAGAAATTGACAGCCCTATTGGTGTGTCTTCCCATTTCTCACTTGTCTATCCTCAGATGTTTCAGGTGATGGGCAAAGGGTCTTAGAGCCAGGCCAGCCTGTCTTGCCCATTTCCTGTGATGGGGACTTCACTGTGTTCTGTGACAGCCCTTTCCATCTAGTGCAAGAGCTAACAACTGCCTCCTTGTCTACATCACCTCCTGCACCCCCCACCAGGTCCTAGCACCGCCTTCTAGAACTCTACATGGCACAGCTGCTCCCTTAGGCCTTGGGCAGCCCTGCAGTGATGTGCACAGATGATGTGATATGCAGAGACTTCTCATTTCTATCTAAAAGCAACTAGTTAAAAAAATTGTTTTTGAAGCTTATCATGCAAAGGGATAGTGCCCTTGATGTGTAAAGAGGACATTCAAATAAATAATAAAGACTCACAGCCCAATAAAAAAAAAATAGGCAAATTATCTCTATAGTCCACAGAAAAGAAAATACAAATGACTGAAACGTGTAACAAGATGTCCAACCTCACTCAGAAGAAGAGAAATGCAAATTAATACTACATTGAGAAACCATTTTTCAATTACTAGATTGGCGAAGTTTGGAAAGTTTGGTAACTTACCATGTGGGTGCAGGTGTTA